TTATTTTTGTGAAAGATTGGTATTTTTGTCCTGATTTGTAGGAATCTGAAAAACGCGTTTCACAACTTGTCTCTTATTAAGTTTTATGCGTCATTCAAGATGGCGGCCCCCATATAGTAAATATCGTATTTATTTTATTATCACGTGTGCGCCAGCTGACTGTGACCTGATAAGTGGAAACAAACTTTAAACGCCCATACTATTAATGGGCGCGATACTGCGCATGTCACTAGACACTAGACTTTTGATTTACACTTTTCTGATGACTTGAATCTGCACTTTATAAATTTCATAAAGGCAGTCTCTATAAATACATAATCAGTGTTAATCATGCGCGGCATGACACGATTGATACCATATGGCGTGACATTCTTAGCCTCCCACGAGAAACTAGACCGAACGTCAAAAACTGTTATGATCCCCTTATTTCGAAACTGGAAGGTGACCTACAATGGCGTATCCTACAGTGAGCATACACAACTGGTAATTTTCTGCTCAATGTAAAAAAAAGCACAAGCAATAAATGCCCACTCATTGACGATTAAGATTCACTTCAACATATTTTTTTATGAGTGTCCAAACAAAAACAACATTCTTTATAGAGTCAATCAATTGTCGGCCGGTCTCACTAAAACTCAAACGCCCATTCCGCACTGGTGATCTGTGGTGTTGTCCCCACATAACGCTTTAGACTTTCAGACTCGAAAAGCTGCAAATCTGTTTTTGTACAATCTCTAATGCAAAACTGGCAATCCATCTAAGTCGTCGTAATAACGGACAAAACATGTATGCCACTGATCCGCTAGAAATATTCACAAATCGTGTACAGTGCAGGTTAAAAACCGAATTTGAATTTTAAACGTGCTTGATCTCACTTGGGCACCGCATAATGTATTGAGTGAAATAAATGACCAAACCCTGTCTGTTCATTTGTAACAGTGTAATTATATATGGAGCAAGTGTGAATTGTTTGACAAACATGAATGTATAGTCGAATATCTCGATATCCTAAGGCTGGTCGACTCGTTTCCTTGTTCCAATGCCACGTGACTAGTTCGCCAGGTGTTGTCTGCTGCGGCGCTTTTGCAGTTTTTGCACTATTATTCAATTATGTTGCATTATATTTCCAGTGTCGGTGGCATTTCTGGACAATAACACTTTGCCTAACTGATGTTAAAGCGCGGTAGTCGTCGCGCTGCGCATGTGCGAGATATATGGGTCTCATATAAACAAAGATGGCGACTTTGAC